ACTGTCTTTTATATAGGAATACAAATATAGGATTGGTACTTCCAAAGTAATTCTTCACCAGAAAAACTTATTAAACATAAAAATATATGTATACAATCGCTATGATCCCAGTTGTATTAATTCAATTCCTTCCTGACATTTCTTCAGTATTAGATGTTGGCATCATCAGAGGTAGTTGCTTTAAAGCGCCCTAAATTCATCTATCAGTTCAGTATGAACAAAAATCTGTTTTATGTTTAACGAGTTGAATTATAAACTATAATGAATCAATTGTATCACTTCCGGTTTACATTAAATAGCTTATTGTTAAGGATCAGTTATCGCAATGAGTTGAAATTGCCTTAAAGATTGTTAGGTTTATAAACTATTACTTTTTTCAAAACTTGTGCAGTTTTTTATTGTGTAAAAGCACTAATCTTGGCATCATTGGCTAGTGCATCAGCAGTTGTTGTCGCGTTGATTATCAGGTTGATGAACGCATCATCAAACCTTGCTGAATTCCTTTTAGTAAATAAATTAACTGGAATAAACAAAACTGGTTTTTGGATGTCAAGGAACCAAATTTATTAACGTTCAATTACCTGCATTATTTATTAATAGTACCAGACAAAAAAAGGAAATGATACTGTAGAATTAAACTTATCAGTCTGCATACAAACTAAGTTAGTAGTAAGAGTATTTTCGCTGCAAGTCGAGGAGCAAGTTTTAAAATGATTTTCGTCCAGTATCTTCAACACTGACAATTTGAAGTACCTACACAAAGAAAAATCTTTGATTCCATTTCACATTGAATTTATTTTACATCTTATTAAAAGCTGTTTGCATCTCTTATAATACATACATTGAATAAACTAGTTGTTACACCCTTGTTTTACCACATACCTACTTACCAGTAGCTAACCATTTCAAACCATTTTTATTACTGTTATTTGTAATACATTTTTGCATCATTCTCCAGGTGATTTTTCTGCTAATAGTAATCTTGGCATAACTAAAGCGAGATTATTTTCCTTGGTCTTCAATTAATATTCGTATTTTCAACTGCGGCTTCATGGTCAGAGAGTATAAGAAGAAAGTCGGCAGCAGGGATTGCAATTGGTAATTAATATTAAATTAATAACATATTTGTATGGTATGCAAACCTGTTTTCATCGGCAAAATCAGCTGCCTTAAATCGATTTTACAAATGTCGATTTGCATTTTCTTATTTGCTTTTTTATAAATAACAACCATCGCTAAAACCTTTTTAAAATCTTACTGTTAATTCGTCAAATTGGGACAATAGCCGAAGGTTACAAATATTTCATTTCTTCCTTTGTGCAAGCAGATTCAATTATTTTATACAGAGTGTACCAGTATTTAGAACTGAACTGGCAATTTCAAATGTACTAATAATTATATGAGTGCGCTCTATGCTTAAAAATAGTTAAGAACTGTGTAAAACTTATTAAGTAAGCAACATTTTCAAATAATCTTTACAGACTAGGATATTGCTATTGGTTTAAAATTATCCATCATTTCTTACTTAACATTGTTACTTAGATCCAGAAAGTTCGATTTAAAAAAATTATGTGATACTTAAACAAAATAACTCAATCTACAAATTTGTTCAACCTGTGCCCATCTTCAAACTTTTTGAAAAACAGAAAACACCTTTTTCTTTTCTAAAGTAGGTATTGCGTTTGTTACTTGAAAACAATAAAGATGTTGAAGATTATGGAGGAGCAAATACAACAACTAAAAAGTGTCGAATAAAACTAAATAATCAGTAAGCTAATAAATACAAAAAATATATATTATCGAGTGGAGAAACATCTCTACAGTGTCATGTATTAACACGATTCGATTTTAAAACGAAAACCTATTGAAAAAATAACATGATGTTAAAAGTCGTTATATTATTTTCTTGATCCATTCGGAGAGATAATAAAGCTCGTTCAATTTCAATAAATAACACCTACATCGCAAAGATTAAGCACTTAATCCAAAACAAACGCTTATGTAATCGCGTAAGTGAAATTTTCTGAAAGTGGGTCTTTGCGAACATTCTACAATGTCCATATTGGCAACTTGAGGCATTTATTAATAGGAATGCAATATTGTATTCGCAAAATTTAATGGCGTTGCAATAGCAAAAACACATGTATTTCACTTATTGAAATTAGAATTTTATCAGTTAACATACATTTCTACTTACATAAAAGTGAAGATGCATGCATGATATGAGTAAACTTAAAAAAGCGATTATAATTTGGATAAAATATCACAGGCTTCTAGCATAATCCCACGCTTGGTAAATTATGAACATTGTAGGTGGGACAAGGCATTATCATTGTTTTCGGATCACTTATATGGTCCAAATATAAAAATTGAATAAGTGAATGCTAGTAAATGCTCGTAATAAAAATGATAATGAAAGTAGTTTTGTAAACTTTTACACCGGCAATTAACGTCCTACAACAAACCTTTCTATTTACGTCCAATCGAGAAACTAATGGATTAACATTAAATCTTATCCTTACTTAAGCCTTACGTAAGTACTAAAATGTCTTTTTTCGACTGAAATTGCCTATGGAAAAGTTATAGGTACATCATGACTTTGAGTAAGTTTGATTAGAATATATTCGAATCCCAAAATAAATATTGCATGTTTGATCAAATAGATCACCCAAAGCCTTTATTTACTGATGAATCTATTAATTTCGATATTTGCCATTTATCGCATGAAGTAGCTGTTTTAAAGTTTCCATGAAATTTTGAATTGCTTCTTGAGATTAAACATGTTACTTAATAATAAAAAGTTTGGACGAATTACAAGTAAAAATATTGGCCTAACTTACTTTGGAACCACATTAACAACTTATTGCAACAGCTTTTATTGATTTACAACCGGATTTAGGGATCTTTTTTGATATATTAGTCACTTAACTGAGCTATCCATGTGAAGATGTCATAGCATAACAATTTCTCCACCAAAACTCCATCCCAGAAATAGGTACGACCAGGAGATAACTTATCAAGACGACGTGGTAATTTGTTTCGTTTGTACTTCCACCTATGCACCACCGAGGCAAAGAAAAGTTAGACCATTGTGGAAAATAATTTCTTCCTAACGTTTCGCAAAAACGAGTGGCTTGCATCTTCAGAGGAGGTTGCTGCGCTGAGCAAACCTCACCTGAAGAAGCGAAGCAACAGGAAGAAATATTTTTTTTCGACAGTCTAAAAGCTCGAAAAATGTTCCAGTTACAAGAAGTTTTGATATTCTATTCATGACTATGGCAATCTTCGAWTTTTTTTTCTKAATGCACACAAGTTTGTTCCCTTTTAATAAAATAGAAYAGGACAGATTCAGCAGTTTCTAATACGTTTAGCTAGATGTAATCACATCTAATGAAAATTTCATGTAGTTCTACAATAGTTAAAAGTAAAATACAGGGTTTTAAACAAACTTATTTATTAGTATAAGTAAGTACCTACTGAACTTGGCAAATATGAACTATATTATAAAGTTTAGACGGTAGTCAAAGTAAGTTAACACAATTTTTAAATGAATATATTGTTTATTTATAATAACGATTAGTAAAAAATGAAAAATTGTACATTTATTTTTTGCTTCGCACACTTTTTGAATCATCATTGCTTCCTGTTGAAGCAGTTCCAAACTTTCACATTAGCCATTTAACAATTTTAAAGAGCCCCGACCTTTAAMCTTGAAAKTTTTYCCATCAAGTATGCTCTAATAAATAACTAAGTAATAGGTATGCATTGATCTGGAGTAAATAATACACTATAATTCAAATGTAGGTACTTCAAATTCCAATACTTAACTCGTRGGAGAATTACAATGGTAAATTAATTGCTTAGTGCTTTTATCGATTTATTTCTTGATACAATTCAATGATAAATAATAAGTCAGCAAATAAAACAGGCATACACACGAAAACAAGGCGTTAGCTTAGGCAAAAACGTAGGCAATAAAAAAATCTAAGGCAGGAGAGCTGTGTACAGAATTTCGAGCAAAAACAAATAAAACACTGTCACTTTTTGTGTATAACATATTTTTACACCCTTGAAATACGCATTAAACTCCCAATAAGCCCTTTAAAATTATAAAGTAATTAAATCTGTTACTCACCTCACTCTGCCTGTTTTGAGTCTTCAACCTGGCTATAAGGTCCTTTTTCCATTGCGGTGTGTAATTTCCACTGTTTGTATTGATACTGTTTGAACTTACAGCAGCCATAGTCTACGCGACACTACACTACACTTGTGCACAGTTAAAAAATCTAATTATTAGTGGCCCAGGTAGGATGAGAATTAAGAAAACAGAGCAGTTAGAAAGAGCTTAGATCAATAAACATTTTAACACTTTTGATAGCAGGTTATCAGCTTTATCAGAACTATAGAAATGATATGGCGAATAACGAGATAAACTCCCTGTAAAGATCTTCAACACAATTGCTGTTATAAAATCATATTAATTAATGGAAACCTGCTAAAGCTTTCTCTATTACGTTAAAATCAGATCACTAAAACTATGTGTATGTTTTCCTACATTCGCTGAATACCAATTATTATTCAACATACCGATCAGTGGCCGAACTCGTATGTGATGCACGTGAAGACTAACACTAAACACTCGTTACATGAACCGAAAACTACATTCGAATTATCGAATTGTACCTCCAATTTCGTATGTAAATTTAATTGATTTTTTAAAAGCTAATCTGACAGTCGACATAAACAAACCACATACAAACAAACTGATCACGATCACATCAAAAATCAGGACCTGACAGATTCGGAGAGAAGAAATAATTACATGCTTTTTTCACAGAAAAATGCACATATTTTTTATTTTCAGTTTTTATTATCCAAAATCTTTGATTTTCTTTTAACGGTAATTTATTTTTGCTTTATTTTTGCTAATCTGCTTTACTTCTTCCATCCACAGCTACTGTCGTCCTCTTCTATTCCGGTATACTAGACGAAGAAATGATTATGTTTGAAATTGTAGGTTAACACCAGTTAACACTACTGCGTCTAAATTGAACCTAACCTCACGCTCAATTTTCTTAGCAAATGTACTAAGGTCAGAGTTAAGGTATCGATTAGCGATCTAAAAATAGTTAAAAATGAGTGATACTCGATTGAATGGCAACAGAAAAATGAGCGCCCCCGAAGGAAAATCGCCATTTCTGATTGGGGTAGCTGGTGGAACTGCTAGCGGCAAGGTAAGTGCATGTTTTCCCAAATGTTTTACCTCTCTATTCATGAATCTCACAATTAGAGCACGGTCTGCAAACGCATTATGGAGAAATTGGGGCAGGCCGAAATCGACAACAAGCAGAGACAAGTTGTCTGCATAGCCCAGGACAGTTTCTACCGAGATTTAACTCCCTCTGAAATCGCCAAGGCTGCCAAAGGTCAATTCAACTTTGATCATCCAGATGCTTTTGATGAAACCTTGATGAAGACCACATTGAATGATATATTGGCTGGAAAAATAGTTACCATTCCTACATACGACTACAAGAACCATGCTTTGTAAGTAACCACCTTTTACTCTATGTATAGCAATCATAGATATTCCAGCCTAATTCTATAAATAGTGCTGTATTTATTTAAATATACACATTTCAATAACACCCATTTGCTATTTCACACTAAAGATCAGCTGAACACCCTGAACGTTTTACGACACTGGAATTTAAATTCATACCTTTCACGGTTAGTTTTTTCGTATTCAGTTTCATATTTGTACGAAGTTCATAACTTTCCTCAATTGTGAGTTTTTCAAGTCAACATTCTATAGAAGTATATTGTTTGCATTCAGCGATTATTATTAGGAAGATAAAACGAAAACAAGCAAATTGATTTTTTTTATCACAGAAATAAAACAATACATGCACGTTGGCAGGAAAGAAAATCAGAAACTTTTAAAATCACAGTCGTGAACGTTAGCTTTATATTGTGAAATTGTTTGAAGTGTGAAAAAGAAGCGGTGCACCATGCAGAAAGCATATGGAAAATTTCAAGCATTAAGACTCAAATACTTATATTAAGGTTCGACTAGTCAGCCTCAGTTAACCAAAAAGAGATTACGGTATGTTTGCTTAAGTTGTTGCTATATAGAAAACTTTTTAATAATTTTAAGGAAAACATTTATTTTTTATAAAACGGTCTCCAAGATCTAAGCCCAGCCAAGGAATTTTTCCTTTAAATTGATATTAAAAAATGTTTCTTAATGGCTAGAACTTAAGTAGACGACACTGTTGTAAATTTTGTACACCAACTACATTTTGTTACAGGAAGAAAAATGAACTACTAACAATTTATCCAGCAGATGTGGTTTTATTTGAGGGAATATTGGTGTTCTATTTTCCAGAAGTGCGCAAGCTTTTTCATATGAAATTGTTTGTTGATACGGATTCAGATACACGACTAGCCAGAAGAGGTATGTAGCTAAATGCGAAGTGTTTTTCATGCAAGAAGTCTTAATCCTACATTATCTAAGATTCTCTATATTCATTTAATGTTTGAACCTTTTTTCCCTAGTGCCAAGAGATATAAATGAGCGAGGTCGAAGTCTAGACCAGGTGCTAAACCAGTATATGAACTTCGTAAAACCAGCTTTTGAAGAGTTTTGTTCGCCGGTAACAATTTTTTTATGTTATTTCATCAATACGTTTGTTGATTTTAAAATTAGACAGCCCTATTATTCAATGCATTTCTCTTTCAGACCAAAAAATTTGCTGATGTTATCATTCCTAGAGGTGCGGACAACCATGGTAAGTTACCACAAATACAAGTAATATTACTACACAATTTAGCGGCAAATTGGATTTGTAACATTTATTAAAATACATTACGTATGTAGAGTGTCCTCTGGGTCAATAGAAGATGATTTAACAAATTTTATTTTGATACAAAATTAGATAGTTGTAGTTGGCTCGAAAATGTGAGTTTTGAAACTTTTCTGCTGAAATTTTATATAATAACAAAGTTGAATGGCACAAATAATCGTAGGAAATAGTTACAAATATAATCCTTCCATAGACATAGCTGGGTTATTTAGTTCATGAAAATCAATTTTGCTGTCTCTGAAGAAAACGTGATATCAGATGTAAATAGAACAACGTATTTGCTTCAAAAAACGTCGCAAACTACCGAAAATCAGGTATAATTAGAAACCAGATCGACTACATTATGATCCGTAGAAGATTCAAAAAGACTATAAAGGCAGTAAAAACATACCCAGGAGCTGATATAACATCCGATTATAATCAAATGGTAGCTGCAATTCATGTAAAATTGAAAAGGCTGGTTCGGAAAACAACTAAGGAACATATGGATCCTAGAATACTATAGGACAATGTAATGTACAAGAATGTTGAGAAAAACATAAACAACAAACTTCTATACTATTTGGTGTTTGTAGTCACCTACAAAACATCGATTTTCTTATTGTTCAGCTGCAAATTACTAATTACTTATTTAGTGTAATTGTTTATTATATTATCAAACAAGATACAAAATCTGTTTTTGTTAATGGTTGATATACGCAGAAAGCCTGCTACTAACCGATAATTATCAAGGGTACCTTTTAGTCGCATATAAGTTAATGTATCAAAACCTTACACTGAGTAACATTTTTTCACACTCATATAACGATATAAATACGTTTTTTCCAGATTTTATTACATTACTTTGAGACGCTTAATTTCGTAAAACAACCAAGACTTCAAAAATCACACTTCTGAACTCTATATCATCTCAGCCTTATTTTTTACCTATAATAAACTTTGATAAATATTCTTTATTTGACCCAAGAAAATTGCTTGCGTCTTTTTTGAGATAGAACCTTAAGGGACACCCTCCATATACAAGTTAAAATAAAAGGTCTCTGGTCCATCAACGTTGAACAGCTTTTTGTCTCCCTTCTGTGTACTACGATATGAGAAATAGTCACTGCACATTCTCCTTGGGTGTAGGTACTTCCAATTCCTCTATGATAAAGCTGATGTCCCAGTGCTAATCCTCCACAGGGCTTTGTTTCTGAAACACTTTTAATTGCGTTGATTTTACGTCTTGGCTAAAAACGCCCTGCCAAATCAGCAATGTGTTTTAGTATTTTCCATTATGCAAGTCTCAACGAAAATCCCATGCATGCCAGTTTTTTGCTGCCACTTCTGGTTCTAAGCTGTAAGCTGAAATAATCCTTGTATGTTCCTGTTGCTCAGCATGTATATGGCTTGTCCATCCCATCAAGCATGAGGCGGACCCGCTGTAAGCACTCATTGGTATTTTTTCTGTTGCAGTGGCTATTGATCTTATCGTGCACCATATCAAGGACATAGTACAAGGGAGACCTCGAGAGAATGGAAGGGTCGAAAGTATTGAAAGACATTATTACGATTGAGTCCATTATTTCACTTCTATTCTATCTATGCTATACATTCTATTTTCTTTCCAATGCGTACATTGTCAGTGTTTCTGATGTTCACTGTTAGTTTATTGCAACTGTTTCTCATATTAATTAGTTCTGATTCTGTTTCTCTTTGCGGCAATTCCTTTCTACAATTGGTTGAAGAATTACTACTGCGATGAAGCATTTCTTTTGGCACAGTTTAACGATATTCTATTAAGGTAACTGCCAAACAACCAGTTGGCAATGATGAAACTATACCCGGTGATACTAAAATATGTATTTTATTTATTTTGAAGTGACACAATTTTTAGGTTTAGTGAGCAACAAGGATTATCATCCTTGTTTCAGTGGTTTTTCAGTTACCTATAGGTTTGTTCCAAATTACTGTAGATATTTAATAAGGCTTGGAAAATATCTACCCTATATGTGTAAATAAAGGGTTAGTCATTAGAGTTAACAGCGGACTTGCGTGATGAAAATATTAATAGAATGAATGAACGAATAATAGGAAACAGCGCACATTTTTTATCTGGTTAAATTATTATCCAATTGAACACATTACCTCGATGTGTCAGCTTTATTAATTTTAGTACAATTAAGTAGATTAAAATGCAGTGTATGTATTTTCAAACAAGTCCTATAATATTACCTCGTTAAAATATTCTCATTCACTAATTATTACTGCCAAATTTACTGCATTTAATTCCAATATCAATCGAATTTTTATGATGCATTAAATTTGGGTCATTAATTATACATTTTCAGCATTAAGACTCAAATACTTATATTAAGGTTCGACTAGTCAGCCTCAGTTAACCAAAAAGAGATTACGGTATGTTTGCTTAAGTTGTTGCTATATAGAAAACTTTTTAATAATTTTAA